ACAGTTCCGTTAATGTTGTAAATGATCCAATTGAACTTGGGATGGAGCCTGTGAGCTGATTTCCTCCAAGTGTCCTGTCATTGTACAGGGCATATGCAATGAATCAAGAGACGAGGGACGAAGTGGGGGGGAGAAGAGAGGCGAAGGTAGGGAGGTGAGTTGGAGGCAGTGAGTTGGTGTGTGTGTGTGTGTGGGGGGGGGGGGGGGGGGGGGGGGGGGGGGATAGTAGGACAAGCAGAAAGTCGGATATAAACCAGTTAAGCGTGTGAACAATTTCTTCTACGTCACATGCAAAAATAGAACTATGTTGAACTGCTAACCACAAAAATGTCAAGGCCCACCGAGAAGTTCTCAACACTCGCATTCATATTGCACCTCACCAGCACTTGGTGCTGTTTGAATGCATGAGTTAGTGTGTTTGAAGTAACACACATAGCTCAAGAATGTTATTTTACCCCCTTTTTTATTGCTAGGACGGATAATAAGCCGCCATTGAACAAACATACAAAACTGCTGGTATTTGGACAGCTACCACCAATGTGACACGCCCATAACAATGAGACAAGCCTGCGTAGGCTTATTGTGACAGTTTTGGAAATGATTTCCACACTTGTGACAGTATTGGAAGTTCGTCCGTGGTTCTCAGAAAGTAGGATCTTGGACCACCCTATTCCTGCAAGGGCTTAAAATCCAACATGTGTGATGTTGGAAAATCCAGTCCCCTAAAGTCAGTGCCAGGGTATGGTTTCAACAGTTGTATCCCTGATTCACTGGTTATCATGGTATGGAATCTCACGTGTTCTCGACCTAAGCTACGTTGATTTATACAAACAGTGACCCTAATACCTCAATTCTCTGGTGTCTTGCACCCACGTGCAATCGTTCACACCACATACACGTTTACCAAGATACAATGGCCGTACAGAGATTCCAGAAATATCAAATCGCGGATGGTTGCAGGAATTGACCCTGTAAGCTTATTGTTGTGAAGATTCCTGATCAGGAATGGTACAAAGACGAATAGCAATGCAAGTTCATGTGGAATGAAACGTCAAAGGTGATGTAAGGGATAGGATACGGTTTGTGAGTAAAGAGATGATGACATAACAAGAAGCAGGAAGATTCATGATAAGGGTGAACAAGGGGTGCAGAAAGGGAAGAGGGGACGGAGGGGTTAGGGAGAGAGAGCAAGGATGACGTGATAAAGGGGGGGTTAAGAAACAACAGAAACTGGGAAATGGTTCAAGGGAAGAGAGGGAGGGAGGGGGGGGGGGGGGGGGGGGGGGGAAGGGGAGGTGGAGGGGGAACAGAAGCGGGGAGGGAGAGAGGAGGGTAAAAGGTTACGGGAGGGAGGTGGGAGGGAGAGGGAGGAGGGGGGGTTCTTTAAGGTCTTACACAAAGCAGGAAAGGTCTTACAGGTATGCCAGGTCTGCAAGATCGCCTATTCCAGAAGGGATTGATCCACTGAGCTCATTGTTATATAGTCCCCTGTAATGATGAACACGGATTTCAATCCCAAACATAGACATTAACACCTCGTTGATACCACACATGTGATGGATGCATAATCTCGTTTCTTCTATGAACGTGATGCGTGAAGACGGCGGGGGATAGTGGTAGATAGAAAGTGGAGTATGGAAATTGGGAGTATTGTAACGTGGAAAAACAACAAAACAAAACAAAACAAAAACGTCCTTTGTGCACCCCTCCCACTGCCCAGCGCTCGATGTGAGCTGCGCTGCAAGTTATAAGACGACTGGCAATAACAGGAAAAGTCTTTAGAGAGGAGATGTGGGGTGATACTAAGTTCTGGGAGTCTAAGCATACTCCTCACAGGGCCAAGAGGTTTGTAAGCAAGCCGATTGTGTCGGGAATGGAGCTAGAAAGGCCATTGTCATAGAGATAACTGCAGTATGTAAAACAGAAAGGCAGGGAGATTGCAAGCTTACCACTTGTTCACCGGTGCTTTGGACTAATCGCTTGATAAAACAAGGAACTGCAGCATGAGAATTTACAGGCCATAACACATGGAACAGGATTGATCATAAGCAAGAAGTGTAGTTTGTACAGAGGACAGACGCCTTACAGGAATGTAAGTTCGACAAGATTGCCAATTTCGGAGGGAATTGGGCCTGTGAGCTGATTATCATTGAGTAATCTGTATGGACAGACACGTGCAAATTATAGTCATCCGACAAGAAAAAACATAGAGAGCGTTTAAATTTTCTCATCAATTCTATCTTTTATAAAATCCAGATCGAGCCATGCTGCACACATTTTCTCTGGAAAATGTGAGGGATAGTGTAGGGTTACAGAATGGGGTACAGACAGAATACTTTTCACATATTTCAAGGTATGATGAACACAGTACACAATAAAAACAAGTAAACGGGGGGGTTTGTGTATGGGTTGCGATGTGTGAATATATCCTTAAGAGGCAACAAAACGGCTTCGAAATGGAAAACTTCAAGCTAAAAAGATAGGCAAGGGGAAGACATCACCTAGAACGGGTGATAGCAACATTATAGGAAACGAACGCACATGTAACGCATTGCTACCCACTGGGTCGAAACAAGGGTGCGATTAAGGCGCAGAGGATGCCTTTAACATGGCCCACAGGCGCTTGAGTATATATTATTTGCTAGAGCCAAAGTTGGAAGAAACCAGGCTGCGCATCACACAGGACGTGCAGATGAGCACGAACAAGGTTTTTGATATGAGAGATGGTATCAACGTTGTGAGTGGAGTGCCATGCCCATACAGTTCTTTAAGTGCAGTCAACGAGCCAATGCTAGTCGGAATGGAGCCAGATAGCTGATTTCCCCTCATTGTCCTGAGATTGTGAGGAATGGAAGGAAGACTTCATTGATATGATCGATGGCAGGTGGGAGGAGCTGATAAAATATGAAGAACTGCAGGACATGAACACATGACATTCTTTTCTTTTAGAGCGTTGTTATTACTATGCCCACTGTCTCAATTTCAGAAAAGATTGTCACATCATTGGCATGGTTGCGCAACCTCCCTGAAGGCCCAGAAGGGAAATAAAATGTGAATGACAAAATGTTGTCATCATACAGGGATTCCAAGAATATGAAGTCGCGAATTCCAGTGGGAATTGAGCCTGTGAGATTATTGCTGCTGAGACTCCTGTGGATGGCAATGAGATTGGGGATGAGCAAAAGTGGAAGAAATGCGATTTGGAGGTTTGGATTTTTGCATGGCGATGGTGCAGGGCAACAAATGAGATGGGTGAACTGAAAAGAGAAGACGAACCGAGAGACAGAACGAGTAGAGAATAATTCGGCAAAGAAAGATGCATAATAGTGGTGTTACAGTGTCACCATTGCGTAAACCTTCTTTCGCACCCATGGACTTGCCACCCTGGTGTAAAGCTCCCGGCTCTAGACGCCTTTGTAGGACAAATCAATCATCACTAGCTATCACGAGCCAAGAAACCTGTAACACTTTATGATCCGCATGAATGTCAGGGTCTTACTCTAGAAGCAAGTGATTCAGCAGCTTCCTTAAGTTGTGTACATCCATACTTGGATACTCGGATACCATTCATGCAAGTACCACGTATGTCATTTTGGAGATGATGACAGGTTGAGAAAATAAGAATATAACACTGAGTGAAGCTGTAGGAATGGACGTTGGACAGTATATAGCATATAATGTTTGACAACTGAAACCAAACAAAACATATCAGAGGCCTTACAGGGCTTCCAGAGCTTTCAAATTGCTGATTGATGATGGGATACTGCCTGTGAGCTTATTATTTTCCAAACATCTGGGATGGTGGAATACATGCAGGCCAAGAAACAAGGATTACATGGAAATAACGAAAAGGATGGAGCAAGCACATACGTTGATAGGTGGGACTAGGTATAGTAGCATGATGGCAGTGTGGTGGAATGTGGGCAGACAAAAGCAAAGGGATAGTCAGCAGCGGTGGAATCAATAGAAGGGTCTTCTTTAAAAAGTACAAGATTACTGGAGAAGCTCAAAGCCGTACACCTTCCAGTCAGTCAACTCTAGCAAGGCTACTGCCAGATGCTGAACTCGTTTTCTGGCTTGGCGAGTGTGTGATCCTGTGTCAGGTATCATCAAAACATACCCACCCTCTTTGTTGCTGTGTACTAAAAGCAGCATATGGCACGTGTAATAATGTCCACACTCATATTCTTCCCTCGAATGGTGATATAGAAATCTCTCACAACCTCATCATTTTCTACAGTAGTGGTCTAACCAGTGCATTCACTCACACTGTGAACACGCCGTCGAAGTGTGAGCTGTATGGAATGGAAGTGGATTGCTGGGTGTATACAAAATAATATGGGAAACGGGTTGACGTACTAACCAGGAGGAATAGGTGCGCGAGTGAAGGAGATAAGGGAGCGCAGCAAACAGGTATCCTTACAGGTACGCGAGTTGTGCCAGAGATCCAATTCCAGCAGGGATTGAGCCAGTAAGCTGATTTGTATCAAGATCTCTGCGACAAATAGGAATCAGAAAGGTGGTACAGATGTAGGTTGCAGTTAACTTCTAATGAAACCAAGTGTGGAATACTAGTACATAAAGAACAGTGTACACCAGCGTAGTGGACACTGTCTTGCCAATGGTACTTGTGATACACCAACCGCCACCCTAGGCTACTGGGCGCCCTAGGTAAGCAGAGACCGAACTCGCACTGCATTAATTTCTGCAGACATGCGTTCTTTCATCAGTCCGCCGCCTAAAACCGTGTCCTAATGTATACAATGTATCCAGTCCATAGCCACGCTATGCAGCGGGAGCATGACAGAACGGCCGAGTCCACGCCTGGCCACTCGAGCTGGCATACAAGTGGACGTTAACAGCTTCAATAGACTGTGTCTCCTGTTGAGCTTGCCACGAGCTGAACGCACGACCCTTCGACGAGGCTGAAGGAACCTTGGGGCTTGTCGACAGGGCGTGAAGAGGTTAAAAGAAAACCAAAAATGTTCATCTCAGACGTCATGTTCTCTCTTGATTTTCCTCGGTCGTCCATAGAAAACTCACTTACCAAATGTACCCGAGAAAAGGGTGTAAAATTAAACGAAGAGAGGGGAGAGAGGGAGGGGAGGGGGGGTTTGAGGGAGAGGGGGGGGGGGGATGGGGGGGAGGCGAGGGGGAGCGGAAGGAGGTGGGGAGGAGAGGGGGGGAGGGGAGGAGGAGGGAGGAGTGGAGGAGAGGGGGGGGAGAGGGGGAGGGGAGGGGGGGGGAAGGGGGGGAAGGATTGGGGGGATTGGGAGGGGGGTGGGAAAGGGGGGTGGGGAGAGGGGGGGGGGGGGGGTGGGAGAGGGGGAGGAGGGGGGGAGAGGGGGGGAGGGAGGGAGGGGGAGGGGGGAATGGTAGGGGTAAATCTGGAGGACTGGTTGCCAACCAGTGGGCAGACGGAAGGGAAGGGCTTTTGTGCCATGTTCATTCCTGGTTGAGGAGTTTCGCAGCTCGTCACGAGCCAGTCATTGCTCATGTGCATAAAAGGAGAAGGCGGTGATCACAGGGCTGAAACTAACGCGAAGAATCGGGAGCGGGATAAACAGATGGGAAGCGCACACCAACCAGAGTGATCTGGGATTCCTTACAGGTACGCCAGGTTCGTAAGTTTGGAAACTTCAGGGGGAATGGGGCCAGTGAGCTGATTGTTGTACAGCTCTCTGTGAAGATGATCGTGTAAGATACAGGCTTCACTTAAAGAAAAAAAGGAGCAGCACAGGAGCAAGCAAACCGCACTGGTAGACACAATTTCAAGATGTTAAACAAATACAGGATGATCACATCAGAACAGGAGTCAGCGGGATGGTAGGAACTTTGAGCAGCAGAATTCAAACTGTTCTATCCCCCCTTTCCTTCCTCCTCCCCCTCCCCCTCCCCCCCCCCCCCCCCCCCCCCCCCCCTCTCCTCTCCCCATCCTCCTCGTCTTCTAACCATCCTCCTCCTCTCCCCATCCTCCTCCCTGCTCTCCCCATCCTCCTCTCTTCATCCCCCTCACACCCCCTCTCCCACCCCCCTCCCCCATCCGCACACCAAGTCCAACCTTGCCCTTCAATCATACAGGCAGTCAAGGTTTCGATGTGGACATACAGATACGATAACTTTTTGAGGTTGCTGATAGAGCTTGGGATACTCCCCCGAAGAGTCTGGGACTGTATGGATCTGCATTGAAACATACAGTAACACAACTTTTATTCAGCCATAATCAGCTCAAATGAGAGGTTCTTGCTCATGGCACGAGGATGTGACTGACATGGTCATCACTGTGGGTACTCCGGAACTTCGCAGGGTCATCAACTAACTGATACGAGGTGTTCTCACATCTCCAGGATCATCCCGCTCCAGTCGCATGTAATGCCGTTAGCAGTGCTGCACTCAGGCGTTGCGCCACTCCATCCAGGAAAGGTCTGCCCCCATGCCGTCTGGCAGTCCTGCAGGAATCGCGCTGCAGGTTGGTGGAGGGAGGAGGGGTAGTTGTTGGAGTGGGGACGAGAAGGAAATCCGGGAGTTGGTGCTGGATTTGATAGCAAGGTCCCGAGGCGGTATAGGTGCAAGGAACAAACGTACAAAGTAGGTATACGGCCTTCTTCGAAGCCACACCATACTTCTGATAATACTACAAAAACTATCAATGGCGCGTTACTGAAATGGGTGCGGAGTGCAGTTGGCGGGGAGTGGTACAATATGAACCATAGAGTCTACGTTCCAGACATCCAATCGGGCTGGGACGGAAGTGACTCACCTTGCGTAGCCTGGAGCGGCTGTGCATTAACAGATGATGTGGCAAGAACGGCGAGGGACCATGCGAGTGCCAGCGCGCACTGCACGCGCTCACGCGTCATTTCCTGGCGGCGGCTCACCGCCGCCCGAATCGGACTGGAGCGCCGCATGCTGCCGCTCCGAGGGGGCTGCCACCACGGCCGCCGCTGTTTCTTCTCGGATCGCGCTCTGAGTTACTGTTACGCAGTAGAACGGGTTCGGACACGCAGGTGGTCTCTATATTGTGCTACTTGACTGCTGCTATAGCTGGTGGTTGTCCAGCGCTGGACCAAGTCTAATTGAGAGGATGGTGAGAAAACACTGAGCTCAGTATGTTGAGCAGAAAGATGGGCACGAGTTTGGGTAAGGAAGTGTGTGAAATGGGCAAAAGGTGTTATTCGCAAACACTGTCCGAGAACTAGGGCGGTTCAGTACGTGAGAACAGGGCTGAACACAGTTTCAGCTTTCCACCGATCTCAACCGTTGCCCACCAGACCGCACCTTACAAAGTGGATGTAGTGAGTATGACCGCGCGATGGATGTGCGAGCGCAGTCCTCTCTCCACTGGAATTGGGCAAGGTCGTGGTGCAAGGATGGGGAGGGATCCCCTGTGCGCAGGTCTCTGCGCGGAAGATCAACCTAAGTCCTTCGCTTCTAACAGCAAGCTCGCTCTCTGCATCTACGACCGAGAGTGTTAAGGGGTGTCCGAAGTGAGACGTCGACATCCGCGGACATCCGTTTGGGGATGTCGATGAAAATCAGCCATCGGATCGGGGATTCCGACCGTCAGGATTCGCCGACATCTGCCGACATCCATCGACGTTACACTTCGGACACGCCCTGCATTACGTTGGGACTTCTTTTGTCATAGCGACACGCCACCCACGTGACTCGGGGGGTTGTCTGTCAGCACTGGAATGACAGCGTGCTTCGCAGCTCAGCACAAACCATTCTAGATATTTTTTTTTGCGTTTGTCGTAACCTCTCTCGAACCCATGGCGGAAACTACTTCGTGCTTGTCAATCCGTCACGCACGACTAACAAGTTCGTAGGAGGGGATGCGATAATGACACTGCTTCATGTATGCAGCTGTATCAAGCTCACCGCTGACCACAACCTTCCTGCCACTCCATGAGTACCCTGCGCTGGCTCAGCCAAGGACCTTACTGTACATTGCTATCTTTTGCGCTGACTCAGCCAAGGACCTAACTGTACATTACCATACTCCGCGCTGACTCAGCCAGGACTCCCATAAATTGCTGCTGATTTGACAGAGACTGACCCTCGCAGACCTTCGCATGGTGCTGAGCACCTTTGCAAAAGGCTCCACTCCGGATCTTTTTGATTTGGGTTGATTGAATACTTCAAAAAGGACATGCATACACATGATGCTCAGCTGCTGCCCGCGAATTTTCCCTGCCCTTGTAGATTCAGTGACCACCAACAATTGGTGGAGGGAAGTTGCATCCCATTTAAAGGCCCCCATGAGCAAAATGCATTGATGATAGAACCAACGATAACGGAGCGACCATCGTCAACTGTCAATGCAGTGATGAGGAACCAATGGAAACGAAGAGAATGACGTCAAAGTGTCAACGTGTAACTATTGAGTTTTTTATAAGCCTTTTTTTTGCCACTCTAATCGGCCCGAAGCTAGGCCCCTTCTTCCGAAGCCCGGGGCCCGGAGGAGGCCGATGCCTTCGGCATCGCTAGCCCAGCACGCAAAGGGAAACCAGGATATTGCGCACTCGTAAACGCCCCAAGATTCGTAGCACGAGAAAGCGATTTGCTTTGCCGGTATGTCCCCCTTGTATTCGCAGATTCCTAAGCTTTTGCTACGCGATCCACGATTTTAGCTTGATTTGTTCGTGCAACATCGGGAATTTTCCCCACGCAAGGTTTTTTACTAAATGTGCGCAAAATAAAAATGTGTTTCCGCGAAATGCACTTGCACTGTACGTGCGATGAGTGTGTCACAAACGCCAGTGGCATCTCTGCTCATTCATGAAATACGATTCTGTTCGCGGTCATGATAAATTTCGTTGGGGTTTACGCACGTGGCTGCACGAAAGTGTAAGCGGGATAGTGCATTATTAATTTCAAGTGTGCTTACGGTCCTTTGAATTAGCGCGGAATGTTTCGCAGTCTAATGTTTTTTTTTCACTCGTACGGTTTCAAACCAGTAAAACGCGTTTTGATTCGGTTAAGAACGGTAAATGCCCTGTACCGCTGTTTAACCCTTTGTAACGTATTTGACTGCAGGAAACATATAGAATTCGTACATTATTGTCGTATTTGCTCGCCGGTGGGAATCACTATGATAGCTCGCGGATTTCTGGTTTTCGCTGCTTTACTATTTTTTTAGTTTGTTTTGTCCCCGGAACTGCGGAGGTTTTCATGCAAGCTACTTCACAAGCTGGCGCGAAAAGTTGTGCTACTAGTTGGCGCGAAAAGTACTGTGTGTGTTGTACTGCACGAACTGTATTGGCACATGCCCGCTGATGTGGGTGGTTAGTTTCGCAGTGAAGAAAGAATCTAGATGGTGTTTTATTGGGCTAGTGCATTTCGTGTTTTGTGTCAACACGCTAGTGCTTACGTGCAAGGTATTTATTGTTTCCAATTGTTTTCATGGGGCACGCGGAATGATGTTTCAGGGCGCGAAACACATTTCACGAGGATACAATTCGCGTAATTGTCATTGGCTTTCGTGGCACACGACATAAAGGGTTACCTCTGGTCTCGTCGATGGTCGTGTAACGGTGATTCCTTCGTCGCACATGATTCGCGCAAAACGATAGCGATAATGTGAGAATCGGGCTGCGAGAAGATTTCGCATTAGCTAACGAATTAGCGAAGCTGAATCGGGACGTTGACCTCTGATGTTCTGACACTTGGGCTCTTAACGACGTTTCCGAGCTCGGCGCGTGGTGCGCATACGCGGAAAAAAGAATTTCCCTTGACTTCCCCGCAACACGTGGTCCAATGTGACGATTTGTAACCCGGATGAAACCAAGACTGTTGTCAGCCCAAAGGAACTTCGGAGCTCTCAAGGGTCACCTTCGAACGAGCGGCCACTTTGGACGTGGTTCCGCAGGTGGTCGATTGACGTCACTTTTCCGGCCCCCTTGCGTGGGAAATCATGCGCGGATGACGTCATTTTTTCACTATTTGTATGTATTATCTAGCTGCAACGTTAACGAGGCATTGGGAATGCAAGAAGCACTTAAAATCCCAGAAGGTAGGGTAAGTATGAGAAACTCAATTGAGAAAACTGAAACAAGAATGAAATAACTAAGTGAAAGTTGGGTACAAATACAAACCCTAGAAAGCTGTACCCCATATGTGCTACCCCACTACAGCCTACAATAGCTATGTCATATAAATCTGACACACCCCCATAGGCAAAGTGGGGAGTACAAAGGGTCACAAGACCAGTCAAGCAAAGCAAAGCAAGCTCAGGGTAGATCACAAAGTCACCACACATGCCGAGCACAAGGTCAAGGCCACAAGGCCTGTTCAGATGCAGCAGTACACATATATATGTAAAAGGCTAGACAAGCAAGAGCAAGGGTATATATATAAGTAGCAGTACAAGCAAGGTCAAGAGGCGAGCAAGTGAGGCAAGGCAGGCACAAGACCCAGCAGAGTACAGAAGCGCTGATGATCACAAGGCGCAAGCGCCTTGGTGAAGATATCAGCAGTGTTGGCCTCAGAGGCCATGTAGGCAAGACGCAGCTAACCACGCTGGTGCAACTCACGAGCAAGGAAGTAGCGAAGAGCAATGTGCTTCGTTCAGTGCTCTAGTCTCTGCTCTCGACACAAGGCCAGCATGGCCTTGTTGTCTACGTACAGCACTGGAGGAGAACGAGGCGGCTCTCTGAGGTCAGTCAGCAGGTAGGTGAGCCAGCGAAGCTCCTGTGCAGC